CGGTAATTTCCACACAAAGGTGGAATATTGGCACTAGATGAAAGGTAGATGAAAGATAGACCTATTTTCTACAATGTCTCCAAGTTCCATCTTATTCTAACCACTTGTTTGCATGTAACTAACATTTTTTTATATCATGTTGGTTTTTTCTCTTTAATGCTCAGGAGCCCAGGTATAGGGGACAGTTAGGTTCAGGGCCTCAGGTCTGGCAGGATTAATATATGTGTAGATTTCTATAATCACCACCATTATCATATTGAACTGTTAACTTTTCATAGCCATATTCAATTTCCTTTCCTCCCATCTTCTGTTGACCGTGTGGAGCCTGTCTGATAAATGCTACCTCTCAAGAACATGTGTAAATATGCTTTCTCATGTTCCTCCCAAGAGTTGGGAGAAAATTATAAAATAAAAAAAATTTAAGGAGCTGAAAACTGAGTTGAATCTTCAATGAGAAATTGTTTATAGAATATCTTCATGGACAAGAGGGCTTATAAATGAATATTTTTCTCATGTTTGCTCATGTTGCCACTCCTAGAAATGGGATTATTGGGTCAATTGGCAGTTCCATTTTTAATTTTTTGGGAAACTCCATACTATTTTCCATAGTGACTGCACCAGTCTGCATTCCCACCAGCAGTGAACTAGGGTGCTCCTTTCTCCACATCCTCAACCTCACTTGTTTGTTGATTTGTTTTTGATAGCCATTCTGACAGGGGTGAGGTGATACCTCATTGTTGTTTTAATTTGCATCTCTCTGATGATCAATGACTTTGAGCATTTTTGCATGTGTCCTAAGAATCCTGAAACACCAATCAGAAAGAATATATGCACCCTTATGTTCATAGCAGATCTATTTACAATAGCTAAGATCTGGAAACAGCCCAAGTGCCCACAAGTAGGTGATTGAGTAAGTAATCTGTGGTACATTTATATCATGGAATACTATGCAGCAGTAAAAAAGAAGGATCTCTTATCCTTTGAGACAGCATGGAGGGACCTGGAGAGTATTATGCTAAGCAAAATAAGACAGTCAGAAAAAGACAAGTATCACATGATCTCACTTATATGTGGAATTTAATGAATAAAATAAACAGATGAACAAAATAGATCCAGAGACATGGAAGCATGGAACAGACTAACACATCTCCAGACTAACACATCTAAGAGGGAAAGAGGCAGGGGCAGGGGGGAGGGGAGACAAAAGAAAAGATTAACTAAATAACTTATATCCATAGCTCATGGACACAGACAATGGTGAAGTAGGCCTGGAAGGGGAGTGGGGGGCAGGGTGGAGGGGTCGATGAGGAAAAAAGGGGACAGGGGACATCAATAATACTTCCAGCAATAAAGATAATTTTTTTAAAAAAAGAAAGAGTGAAATACAAGGCACTCATTGAGGGCAGCTGGGGCAAGGACATGGTGGAGACCTCCCACCTCACCACCACCAAACCAGCCCTAGATTGGCTTTCCCCAGATTTTTAGGCTTATGCTGTTTATATTACAATGATTTACATCTCTGCTACTCATTTTAATCCTAGGCAATTATTTTTTTAAATGAAAGTCATACAATAGCTTGTACAGTATGTATCTAAATATATATGGAGAGAGAGGGAGAAAAACAGCAAGATGAAAGAGAGGGAACATAAATCATTCCATGGAACACAGATTTTCATTATTTCCTTATAGCTTTCAAATGTAATGGGGTATTTTTACATAGTCTTGATGCTCTCAAGATTAAAACAAAATAAAGCCTTTTTAGTGCTTATACAAATTGGCTTTCATCTACAGATTGAAAGTTAAAATAATGAATACTGACATGTCGACATGGTATATTGGTAATGTTTTAAAATGTTTACACTGATCATTTTTAAAAGCTACTATTGAGGAATATATTCAGATTGGTCTTTATATGTGTTTTTAGGTGAACTTATAAGTGAGCTATTGGATAAAACATTTGTAGATATGCTAGGGTTCATAAAAATATGATTTATAGTTCATTGAAAATATTATTATAATTAGCCTATAGCCAAGTTAGAAATAAATAATTATAAATCAAATCAATAGAAATTAAAATAAATGACAATCCAGTCTATAATTATGGGCATTCTAAATCAATATTATCAACATTTAAAATGGAGATTCAATGAATAATTCTAAGTTACAAAGAAAATTTTATCCTAAAAACATAATCACTGCTTAATATCAGGATACCTGTGACTGTAATATCAGTAGTTCAAATAGAAAGATAATAACTTTCTTTTTATTTACTATATTCAATGTAAGGGCTCAAAATAGTATTCATTCCTGAGAGGGAGATGAACCATATGAAAAATAACAATATAAATGTACATTTTATTATAAAAAATCTACCTTAGATCAACAGGAAACATAGTTAGTTATGAAATACTGTAAGCCTTTCCATTAAAATAATAATTAAGGATGGCCAGTATCACTGTTTTAATTGTTTTATATTATCTAAACACATCTCCATTATAAATTATAGAACTTCATAAATGTAAAATAAAAGCTGTGGATATTGGCAAGGAGGAGACAAATCTATGATTTGCAGGTGATGAAATTTTATATGTAGAATTTTTAAAGAAAAACTAAGGGAAAAGTTTTCTAGGTCAGTAAATGTTCAAAATGGATGCTGAGTTAAGTTTATATATATTCTTATCAAAAAAGTTAATGAATATATATGAAGAAAATATAAACCTTTGCTTAATGATTTAAAAAAATGTGGCTTAATGATTGTATAAAACATGATCCTAGGTAACCAAATGAACCTATTTACATCCCATTCACACCTCATTTTAATTGTCAGAAAACGTATAACATCATTCTAAAATTCACCTGGGAGCATGCACAAAAATAATTAAGGCAAGTGTGAATAAGGGAAGACTAATGAAGATTATAAAACCACGGTGATTAACAGTATGATGTGGCACAGCCCCGAACATTAAATCAGTGCATGTAACAGTAATGACTTCTGCCATAAACAGTTGTCCATTATGTGACAGAGAGTGCAAAAGAGAGCCATCATACACAGCCCGTCACACCTGCTCTATAGAGTCAAGTGTTAGTGTACCTACGTTGAACCTAAAACTGGTATCAGAGAAGTTAACTAATTTTAAGAATGCCACAATTCCTATCTTATATATAAATGCAGGCTATAAAAGAACTCATTCCACATTGGAGATGCTATTCAGAGACAATGATTTTCTTTCTATTTTTGTTTTCTTTTTAAGGGAAAATCAGATTACCTATTGCATGCTCACATTAAGGTTGTTGTCTTGTCTGGGGTGTTTTTGATGCTAGTTTGAGTGGACTTTAATCCATTACAGTCAAAGATTCTCTAACATATATACCAAAGTCTAGTGTCTTCATTTTACATCCTTCATAAACAAATAGCCAAGAGCACATCCTAAACCAGAGGTGAGGAACCTTTTTTCTTTTAAGGGTCATTTGGATATTTATAACATTATTTGATTAAGATAATTCACTTAATGTAAATTTATCTTGCTATGAAAAAAAACACACACTCCTAGATTAATTGGATTTTAAGTCCTGTCTGCATTTGCCTTGGCAGGGCCAGACCAAATGATGTCACAGGCCTTACTGGGCAGGTGGGCCTGATGGTCCTCACCCTGTCTTAAACTAATGTTAAAGACAATATTACAATATATAAAATATTAAAAAATGATTCATGTAGTATATCTTTCATATCCATTGGAAGATATAATGTGGCTTGTAATACTGCAATCAATAATATCCTCAGTATGGAAACCCATAGTTCACAGCAAAGAACTTACATATATTTTAGAAAAAGATTTTTAAAAATCTAAATACAATGATAGGAAAATATAGATGGAGTAGTACACTATTTAAGTTTGAAAAATAGAAGCAAATTGAAATGAATGTAAGTGAATTACTAAAATTGTGTGTTTTATATAATATCATACACAACATTTTTTATCAAACAACTAAGAAATGCTTGCTAACATATGACTATGAACTAAAATGTTATTATACAGAAAGTATTTCCACAGTTATTGAGAAAAATACACAAAACTTGTATGTAACAAAATAGAAAGACAACATGAATTAATAATTCACATTAAAAGCTAGCTAGTAAAGGTGTTAAAAGTCCAATCAATGATAATAATAAAAATATACTAATGAAATTGACTATTTTCATCTATTATATTAGTAACTTTATTAAAAAGAGACATTTAATTTATTTGTCAGTACTTATCTTAAATTTCTTATATTCAGAGAAGTGGGCACAAAATTTTGCCAATAAAATGTGTAAAAATATTTACAATTGCGTCTAGAAATTCCACTTTTTGGAATATATTATAAGAAAATAAACCCAATATTATAAGAAAATAAACCTATACTTAGACTAAGTAAAATCTTAAAAATATTTATCATCACACAGTGTGCAGGAAATCCATATTAAAAAAGACATTAAAAGTAAGTAAAAGTTTAAATAATATATAATGAAATGCCTGATGGAATATTACAAAATCAAAAATAGTATTTAGGGTATTTTTATTGCTATTAGTGAGGGTTATCACAAAATAATAAAAGAAAACAGAAACAGAATTGATACAAAATCAAGGGACTTTATAAAATTAGCAGGTTATTACAAATAGAGTTAAGAGAAAGTTAAGAAGTATCATTCGTTTTTTTAAAGATATTTTCTTATTATTTTAGAGAGAGGAGGAAGGGGGAGAGAGAGAAACATCAATATTAGAGTGATGCATTGATTGGCTGCCCCAATAGGGGATGGAGATACAACAGGGTCAGGTGCCCTGACCAGGAATCCAACTGGCAATCCCTCAGTGCCTGGATGATGCCCAGCCAACTGAGCCACACAGGCCATGGCAAGAAGTATTATTTCTTCATTAAAAATATTTTTATGTTTCTCTATACTTAAAATTTGTTTTACAGTGAGCATGAATTACCTTTATGATAAAATGAGAAAACAAGCATACTTTTAAAGGAACTTTATTGAGCATTAATTCAATAGCAGTAAGATTATGATTTTAGCCTGGCATTTGTAAAGGGTAGGCAATTGAATGTTTGGTACAAAAATATTCTTCATGAAAAATTGACCTTTTAAAGTAGGAGAATCATAGAGACCATAATGTCTCCATTTGTCCTGGAAAAAGTAGAAAGAGAATGTTGTTATTAGTAACTAGAAGTAAGATATAAACAGAACTAATTTCTACTATGAGATATATCTTCACAAAAGGGCTATGTATCTATCATGCCCAAACAAGACAAACTTTACCAGGGCCTCACTGCCTCAGTGTAGATTCATCAGCAGTTAATTGACACTGTGGCACTAGCAAGCCTCATGTCAAACAGAGTAGGGATATGACTCAGCAAAACAGGCTTTTTGGGAAGGAAGCCAAAACACCAGCTGTATGTAACATGTCCCATTTTTTTGTTTAGTGCATGCATCAGAACTAAATATTTCCTACTTACTGAGTAGATTTTTGAGAGAAGTAAGGACTGAAGAACTTTCTATATGGACTTAATCATTTCTTATGCAATCATTTATTTGTATTTATTATGCAAATAAAACCAGGGTTCCTCCAAGGGCCATTAAAAAAGGGCAGATAAGGTGAGCCTTAGTGATGACTGGGCAGCAGCACTCTATCATTGCTCTCCATTCTATCTAGACTTTATGTAAAGACTCTGAGCAGGAAGCACCCAAGTCCACTTCTTGGTTCCATTTACCTTAGTTCCCAGGGAAGAGGTAGAAATACCGGGTCATGGATACTCTTTCAATCGTTGGCATCTGGGCCAGTACCTTTGGTGTCTCAAATGAATGTTGAACCTAAAGTAGCCAAGAAAGCCTTTAGAGATTTTTGAAAGAGGAAATTTGAACTTTTCACTTAGGGGCCAGGCTAATTTTTACATGATATAAACAGAAGAAAGGCTATTTTTACATGATATAAACAGAAATTTTAGCATCCTTGGATATAGTGCATACACAATGAAATTAGTACCTTCAAAAACATTCCCTGAATGAGCAAGGCTACTAGAATTGGAGAAACTCACACTGGTTCCATGTATTACTTCAAAAAACTAAAGTAAACTTGGACTACAGGAAAGAGCATCAAAGGGACTTAAGGCTTCAGGATTCCTGAAAACATTTTGTAAATGTTTCTACAAAATGTCCTGGGGCACGGAATAAAAGGAAAAGATCCTACCTTTCGAAAAATCTCCTCCAAATGATGGCACCAAGCATATTCCTTGAAGTGGTAGATAATTTGGGAAATGAATAAAGAGCCAGTTTTGACCCCTCTCCAAGAGCTATTATCTGCAAATAAAAAGTATAAAAATATTGAGTTATGCAGACATTGTTTAAGTATGAACGCCTCCTAAAGCCGTAGCTTTTAGACAAAGTTTGATTTTAATGCTTTGGAGGAAAGAGGGAGGCCAAATCTGGATAAAGCTAGGACCACAGGTTTTTATAACAGTTCAAAGAAAACCACCATGGACCCTCAATCATAAATCCCCTTGATTTTATTAGTAGCAGGGCCAAAACTTATGGACCTTAGGATTGAACATAGTGGAAAAGGACATATATCCTTTCAGCACCTACTACACAGTATAAAAAAGAATACAGCCCTTGATGTTCTTTGACTCTGGGTCTTCTCTTCATCCATACTATTTTCTAGTATAATTTTTTTACACTTAAAGTTTTGTTGTGTGAGTATCTATTGAATTACTACTCCTCTTTACCACTGCAAAGTGATCAATTATCTTCTATCATAAAAAAGCAAATATTCTAATTGTCAGTTTATCTGCAGCTATCTTTCTATTTCTCCTTTCTTTTTATAGTTAAGTTTCTCAAATATATCTCTACTCACCATCTTCATTTTCTCCCAGCCTGCTCACTCCTGTCTAGCTTCTCCCGCCCACACTATATTTACCCAATGACTTTCTGCAAGGTCACCCACATCCTCGAAGTCACCCACATCCTCCAAATCACCCACATCCTCCAAGTCATTAATCTAATGGTAACTCATTGGGCCTCATCTTTACCTGAGCTCTTATTCACATCGAAACTATTGGTAACTCCAGCAGATTCTTTCTAAGTAACTCTGACAACACATACTCTTAGTTTTATTTTTTATTCTCTGACCCTACCTTCTGAGTCAAATTTTTTAAATATATTTTTATTGATTTCAGAGAGGAAGGAAGAGGGAGAGAGAGAGAGAGAGAGAGAGAGAGAGAGAGAGAGAGAGAGAGAAACATTAATAATGAGAGAGAATCATCGATTGGCTGCCCCTTACATGCCCCACTCTAGGGATGGAGCCCACAACCCAGGCATGTGCCCTGACTAGGAATCAAACGGCCACCTCCCAGTTCCCAGGTTGATGTTCAACCACTAAGCCATGCTGGCTGGGCCTGAGTCTAATTTGATGACTAATATTTCTAGCTCTGATCTTGAACTCTAGAGTTCTTCAGGTCTTTGATGTAGGATTCCATCTCATCTGTTCTCTGTTTCTAGATAAGTTTATCTATTTTTAGAATATTAAATATCAACCTTAAGTGAGCATCTCCCAAAATTCTAACTCTCCTCTGAAAAATACAGCTATGTAACTCTTTAAATAACAGGCCAAGAGATTCTAGGATATGTAGTACAATTATTATAATTTTCTTGGTTCGCTCATTTAATTGCTAGTACATGATCGGGTATACCAAACCATGAGAAGATGATACATTTCTGTGCCATGGGTATGTGTATATATATATATATATATATATATATATATATATATATATATATGAAAAAACACAAAAACAAAAAAATAACCTCTTACTTTATTTATAGTTAGACTATTTTAAGTCTGGATCTTCCTTGACCTTCTGTGTAGTTTGAAAATTTCCTCCAAAATCAGGACTTGTAACTTTCTAGTTATGTAAATTTTAATATTTTAAATAGATCTTCCACCAACAATATCTCATTATAGAGGAGATGTTCTTAAAATAGTGATAAAATATTATCATGGCCTAGCCTGTAATCTAGGAACTAATAGGTTGAGAAAGTGTTCTCTATGAAGTCACTTACGTGGAGTTGATGATTTGAACGCAATGAAGTCCTTCTCCACGTGGGTCTTTGTAACAGCATCACTCCAGAAACAATACCTCAATGCAGAGGCTTCTCCCATGTCTGGTACCCAAACAACCCCATCACCTCCTGAGAGAGACATCCGTGTCATATGAAAGATGTTATATTCAAACACATACATAGACACATACACAACATACATTTTTTTACCATTATACTTTTACTTCAATACATTTTGGTACAGCATTTATTAAAAATGAAAGTATCTTCTTACTGTTAGAAAGACTACCTCACTGACTGTGAACCATACCAAGCCCACTTAACTTTAGAGTAAACTTGTTGACGATATAGTCACAAATGATGGGGCATTCCTGATTAGGCTACTTATAATTTCTTTAAGAATAATACAAACTTGCCCTAACCAGTTTGGCGCAGTGGATAGAGCGTCGGCCTGTGGACTGAAGGGTCCCAGGTTCGATTCCGGTCAAGGGCATGTACCTTGGTTGCGGGCACATCCCCAGTGGGGGACGTGCAGGAGGCAGCTGATCGATGTTTCTCTCTCATTTATGTTTCTAACTCTCTATCCCTCTCCCTTCCTCTCTGTAAAAAATCAATAAAATATATAAAAAAAGAATAATACAAACTTAATACAATTCTGGACTGGGCCTGAGAGTAGTAATGAAATGTTTTTTTCTCACCCATCTCTGAGAAAAAGAAGGCTAGACATCATACGAATAGGAAAAAAAGTGTAAAGCCACTCCCTGATTTCCCCCAACTCAGACTCACTTCCTCTGCAAGCCTGCATGATGATGATCTTGGGCTTGTCTCTTAGACTCTGGCAGTTACGGTTGTTGAAAATTTGGAAGATTGTATCATCGTGAAGTATATCTGGTTCTTCTCCTCTGTGTTTTGTCCCACAGATTCCTTCCAGGACACCGTGTGACATAAACACCAAGATTGTACTGTCCGAGGATCGGTGCTCTTTGCGGGCAGCAAACTCACATAGCACTGCTACCATTTCCTGAAAGAGACTCCAGAATCACGATGAAGGAACTCTCCATATACAGTTTGCAACTGAATAGTAGATGGAGTTAACAAAACGGTGTAGGCAACAAGGGATCAGGTGATTTGGACTCAAGGACGATGCTGGGAGATGAAATAGAACAGTGGTTCTCAACTTGTGGGTCGCCAACCTGTGGGTCGTGACCCCTTTGGGGGTCGAACAACCCTTTAACAGGGGTTGCCTAAGACCATCAGAAAACACATATGTAATTACATATTGTTTTTGTCATTAATCACTATGCTTTAATTATGTTCAATTTGTAACAATGAACATACATCCTGCATATCAGATATTTACATTACGATTCATAACAGTAGCAAAATTATAGTTATGAAGTAGCAACGAAAATAATTTTATGGTTGGGAGTCACCACAACAGGAACTGTATTAAAGGGTTGCAGCATTAGGAAGGTTGAGAACCAGTGAAATAGAATGAGGGGCAAGTGACATGACTAGTCTCCAATAGGAAGGCTTAGTTTTCATCTGTTTCATATGTTGGAGTTTCTGTAAGTTTTCATTAAAAAAGAGAGTTTTCTTGACAAAAATTATAAACACTTAACAAATTCACTCATCATGGAACAACAGAAAGTTAGGTTTACATGGTTTTCTAAAGTTACCCAGGATATTTTAGGCAGAGCCAGAATCATAACTCTGTGTGTGTGTGTGTGTGTGTGTGTGTGTAAACTTGTTTTTGTTTTTTGATACATACATGCCTTTACATTTAGACACATGATACTGAAATTATAAAAATCTCATGAGCTCATTCTGTAGGTATCAGGCAATTTTAGGGCCCAGGCCTTTTGTTTCACCAATACTATCAAGTAATAGATTTTCTCTCAGATTGAGACCTTTAGAGAGATCCAGAATTTTAGTGAGATACTACTACTAAAAGGTAATCTGAACCTTTGCTATGAGACTGCACTTGAGGAGGCAGAAATCCAGGAGACCCTATTCTTGAACAAATATAATTCCTATAACATATGCATATTTTGTTCGTATCGCTGCTAAGGAAGAAGTTCAAAACTGTTTAGGATGGTAGGAAGTTTGTCCCACTTTCTTGAGTGCTTACCAGGGCTGTAAGATTCTCTTTTACAACCACTGAGTATCCAAGGCTTTCTAGCAGGTCTTGCATCCCCACAAGGTCATCTTCAGAACCCCATCGTTTACAAAGATGATCAAAATCTTTGTTGTGGATGATGAGGGCCAGGCGTGTTCTGCCCTCTTTCTCCATCACTGGATAAATCTGCAATTAAAAAACACAGAATTAGTTGTCCCAGGCCTCCTCATTTTTGCCTCCAAAGTGCATAGAAAACAGACCTTTTCCCATTACAGAATGGATGGCTGAAGAGCTTAGGAATGGAACTACTCTATGTCCTTATGAGGAAAGAGGACCATAGACTGAACACATGTAGTAGGAACTTGGCATTGGTTAGGGGTTTAGAATGTGTTCCAGGATGGGATGGAAGAGACAGGAAAGGTAATGTGAGGATCACTTATTAGAGAGCATGATTAGATAACATCCTATGATTTTTACATGAACTAAAATTCCCGGTATGTCTCCAGTATCTTGTTTAAGTGGGCAAATTGTGTTTCTCCCTATTCCAAAGCAAAATACCTCATCTGCCTTTCTTGTCTTCAGTCTCTGGAAATGATCAGGAGGACAAAGTTTCAACTTATGAATGGGTTGGGAAGCCTGGGTTTCCTGAGGAGCTAAAAGAGAAAAAGCAAAACAAAAAGAAACCCTCATTAAGCAATAATGTCCACTGCTTTGCAATCATGCATCTCTGCTGAGTGAGCTTTCATTCTTAAGAATTGCTTACCACCATCTCACCCTACAGCTTAATATAATAAAAATGTTTTCTATTTAAATTACTAAAACAAAAACTTAAATATTCCCCCTCTTTTCTTTCTGCCTCTTCGTGACCTCCACTATATATTTCTGTTTTTGTTAGTGCTCACAGCATTGACTAATCTTTAAAAGCCAACTCATTACATTCATATAAACACAGTACCTAAGATTTAGAAAGAAGCCTAATGTTCATTTGGCCTAATCAAGTTACCGTTCAGGTATTTGAATGCTGCATACAATACCCCTATTTATTACTACCATTCTCTGAAATATCTCTACTAACAAGTTACTTAAAGCATTCTAAATCATTTTTGAATAGTTCTGAATGTTGTAAAGTGAGAACCTGCTAAGTATTGTTATGTATTTCTCACATTGTTATCACAAAAAAATCTAATTTCTTTCCCTGTGAAAGCCCATGAGTTCTCCTGACTTTAATTTATCTCCACATTATTTTATATAATTGTCTCATCTAAAAAGTTATTGTATTTTACCTTGTGTTTATTGTACTGTAAGCTTAAGTAGGACAGGGAAAGTGTCTTTAATCTTTGTATTTCCAGTATCTAGCAAGATAATGTGGCACACATTAATGATAACTGGCACAGTTTATAACTGCTTGTTAATGAATACAGTAGTTATCGTCAACTTGAAAACAGCTACCAAGTATCTCCTGGTTTCTTGTTTTTCCTTAGTACAACAAACCTCTGTTCCTTTTAATAGTTTTTGCATAAAAATGATTTAATTTTTAACCAACGAATCCATCAGTTCATCTACATATCTACCCACCTACTCTATTTTTCCTCCTACTACAAATAAAGACAAGTTCTTTCCCCAATAAGTGTGGTACCTCTACTTATGCTCTGAGTTCCATTCCCTCTCACCCACAGGACTTGACTCAGGCATTTATTTAGCTGTGCCTTCTCCACCATCAACTTCTCTCACTCTTCCCACTGTGTTATCCCCATTGGAATAGTATCATTCCTTCATATCAAGTTATCTGTTAAAAACTCCTACCCTTGACCTCACTTCCCCTCCAGCTATTATTGTCCCATTTCTCCACTTCTCAGCAAAACTCTTTTTAAGGCTTTGTCTATTTTCACTTTTTCAACTCATTTTTTTTTTCTCCTGGATGTAATATAAACTGGCTAGTATCCTCACCACTTAAAGTACTTGTTATCAAGGTTACCAAAAACCACTTTTCCCCTTTCTCATCATTTAACATCTTATTTTTTGAAAGATTTTTTCTGGGCTTCTGGGATGCTGCATTTTCCAGCATTCTTTCTAAATCTGTCCCACTGGTGACTCTTCCTCTTCTGCCATACGTCCAAGAGTTGGGTTGTTCTATGTTGGAGCCTCTGTTGTTCTCTATCAGCATTTCTCCTTTGTCAAAGGATGGCCTTTGTCAGTCCCGCCACTGGAATTCTATCTACCATTACATGTGAAGAGTCCCAAAATGTATTCCCATCCCTGATTCTTGTGCAAAATCCTGTTTACTCAACATCTGCCTTAATATAGCACGTTTCAAACTAAACATGTAGTAAAGGCTCCTGATATTTGTCCACTCCTGTAAATCTGTTTCTCCTGATTTTACTCTGAATCACAACTTTTCGCTGTCTCAGTAAGTGGTACCTAGTTGTCCAGCCAAACAACCTAGAACCACCCTTGATTCTTTCCCTTCTTTTATTAGCCCACACCCAATTCATCTATAGTTTCTGTTGATTCTACCTCCAAAATAGATCCCAAATTTAATTCCCTGTCATAATCTCTATTACTGCAGTTCTAAACTAAAAGCTATTATCTCTTAACTGAAATATGCAAATAGGCTTCAAGTAGCTTTTCTGACTCTATGCTTGTTTATCACTCCTCTTAAAAACTCCTTAAATAGCTGAAACCGGTTTGGCTCAGTGGATAGAGCGTCGGCCTGCGGACTGAAAGGTCCCAGGTTCGATTCCGGTCAAGGGCATGTACCTGGGTTGCGGGCACATCCCTAGTAGGACATGTGCAGGAGGCAGCTGATCGATGTTTCTCTCTCACCGATGTTTCTAACTCTCTATCTCTCTCCCTTCCTCTCTGTAAAAAATCAATAAAATATATTTAAAAAACAAAAAAAACAAAAAACAACTCCTTAAATGTTTTCTATTGCAAACAAAATCCAATTCTTTCCACTCTCTAAAATGCCCCAAAATGGCATTGCAGCAATAGTCTGACTCCTTAGCTGCTTCTCCTACCACATTCTAGCTAATTTCATGCTCTTCAGCCAGATTGACCTTTTCTATGACAAGATCATTCCAGACTCAGAGCCCTTGCTCTTTTTTTTTTTGCTTTTCCATGGAATGTTTTTGCTTTAGAGTTTGGCAAAACTATTGCTCAGGTATGTACTGAAATATCACCTCAAGAGAGTTCTCATAACTATCCTCCCGGTTCATGTACCTCCCACCCACCCCAACATCTCTCTATGGGCGAATCCTCTTTTCTCAAGTATGTTCCTTGAAATTGTGCTACTTTGCTTCTGCATGTTCATTACATCTCTGCCTTCACTACATTGTAATTTCCATGTAAGCAGGATCTTTGTATTGCTTATTGCTATAAACACATTAATTAGAATAGCATATTGTAGGTTTTCAATGAACAGATGCATATATGTAATATAAGAATAGATATAAGAATGAATACAGATTATAAAGTTTTTCTTCCTTTGTTTGTTCAGAACTTCTGAAGATCTGCTACTCAGAAGACAACGCCATCACTACTCCCTTTCTAGACACTGTCATTCTTTAATGTGACCCCATATTTCATCAGGTTCTTTGGTGATCACATAGTATGTGTGATTGATACTGTTTTGTCTTCCTAATGTACTTTTCTTAACCACATCTTTATTCTGTTATGTGCAGTTGCTAGTTGCTTATATCTTAGATGTTTCATGAATCCCTTTAAATATGTTATTAATCCCGTTTAAAAATTTGAACTTCAGAAAAGCTGAGAAATAGATGCCAGAAAACATGTTTAGTTGGTGGCAGATGGACTTAATGCATAGATGTTTTTTTTGGTGTGTGTGGGGGATTACTCCATTTCTATTTCCACTGTGCCAAAAGGCCTTTTCATATGCCCTAGCTCAATCAGTGTCCTTATATGTCCATGATATTACCTGTCAGAGGCAGAACCGATGCCTGGGACAAGCCAGCATGCTCCTCAGTTTCATCATCTTCATTTTCACTTCTAGATTCTTAGAATTAAAGAGAGGAATGCACGTGTTAATCTTACTTTTGAGGGACTTTGTTAGGGGCAGAAGGGAAAAACACCTGATTTCCTGAACCTAAATTCAGTGGTCTTTTCACTACATAACATAGGGCCACTGTATAGCTGCCTTACGCCAAGTAATGTATGAGGGCTCCCATGAGCCACTGGGTTTTGATGGCAGTTACCTGTTGGAGGGGGAGCCAATGTGTGGACTGATTCAGCTTTTTCCTTATCTTCATTTTCTTCACTTTCATTTTCAGATTCTGAGGTGAAGTGAACAAAATGTTAAGCATCGATGCTCTACTCTGAAGGTTATTTCCAAAGACGAAAATTGATTGAGAACACGGGTTTTCTAGGTCTTTACCTATGTTGTTCTTTATCAGCATTTCTCCCCAGACAGCCTTTGTCAGTCCCACCACTGGAATTCTATCTACCATTACATGCTGAAGAATCCCCAAATGTTTTCCCATCCTTGATTCTTCTGCAAAATCCTGTTTACTCAACGCCTGCCTTGGATATAGCACGTCTCAAACTAAACATGTACTAAGGGCTCCTGATATATGTCCACTCCTACAAATCTGTTTCTGACGACACTAGAAGTTTTCATCTGTGAGGTGAGACTTAGAGGCAGTTACCTGTTGAGGAAGAAGACTCACTGTTTTCAGATTCACTATCCTCATTTTCACGAAAAGCTGCCAAAATAAAATAAATATGCATTAGCGGAAGTAAGTTTCTAGAGCCTACACACCTCAAATTCTTCACCTAACATTGACAAGGAAATTACTATGTTCAGCAGATGGCATATGAAGCATGGAGATTTGGCTCATTCTTTAAACTCCAAATTTGTTTTAGAGAACTGCAACCTTCTACAAAGTGAAGGAGGAGGCTGAGTTTCCACAAAATAAGGAATAGGTCATTATCTTCCTGTTTATTTAATACAAGGAATCATTAAATTATTTAATCAAGGCTTTTCTGCAAAAGCATTTTTCATTTCAAAGAGGAAAAATACATCTCTACAAAAATTCATCTTGCGACAACAGCAACAACAACAAAATAATCCCTGAGGGATGTTGGAAGGATTTGGAATATACCCATGTGTATGTTTTATTCTAGAGTAGGAATCAGCAAACTATGCCCTGTGGGCCCTACTCAGCCCTACA